TGCTCTCTGCACAAAGTCTATCAGGTCCTTCTTGGAATATTTAAACACTTATTTCTGTACAAGCCGGTTCATCTGCCAGTTCATCCCAAATGTTGCTACTCCAAATCATTTTCAGGTTTACCACCTCAGAGTGAACTAGACACATGCCTTGACCTTACAAAAAGCTTGTGTGGTGTGACGAAGGTAACTACTGAGCATCCCAGTTTGGGTGCTCTTTGTCTTCAAAATTCAATGCAGCCACAATCAAAATGCAATCAGAAGCTTAGGAGGAACTAATCCAAGGTCAGGAGAGGGTTTTAATATATATATAGCTGGGAGGGGAAAATGGGTCTAATTGACTTAAAATCTGCTGGATGCTGTTCACCTCTCAGAGGGTATGGCTTACAAGCATGAGGGAAAGTAAAGAAAGGCACTTAAGCATATGCACCACCTACAAGACATCCAAGTGTCTTGTGCACAAATGCAGAAAACTCTGCTGTATTCCCCGCACCCTCTCCTTCTAAATGTGCAAAAATTAAGTCACGTTCCAACTAGGGATGAGCAAATCTGTCACTTCCAACTTCTCTCTGTTTCTTATCTTTCCACTCTTAGTCACAATTCAGTTTCCTTAAAAAAAAAAAAAAGTCCTCACAAAAATTAGTCAGTATTTTAGGGTGCATTTTTGTAGGCAGTTCTGCAGGCTGCTTCTTCACCTATATGGTAGTCAAGGATGGCCCACCCACGAGGCAAGATGAGGCAATTGCCTCAGGCAGCAGGGTCCACAGGGGCAGCAGATTCCAACATAGATCTTTATTTCCCTCCATTGTTCCTGATGTAAAGCTTCACTCACCCCTTCTTCCCTGGGGAGGAGGGAAGTACCATTTTGCACTTAATCTCAGGTGCCAAAATGTCTTGGGCTGTCCTGTCTGTAAATTATAAAGCATTTTTATGATATCTATCTATATCTATCTATCATCTATCATCTATCATCTGTCATCTATCTATCTATCATCTATCTATCGCTATCTGTCTATCTATCTATATCTATCTATCTATCTATCTATCATCTATCTATCATCTTTCTTTTTCTCTCTATATCTCTATCTATGTCTATCATCTATCTATCATCTATCTTTCATCTCTATCTATCATCTATCTATCAACTATCTATCTATGTCTATCATCTATCATCTACCTATCTATCTATCTATCTATCATCTATTTATCATCTATCATCAATCTTTCATCTATATCTATATCTATCTATCTATCTATCTATCTATCTATCTATCATCTATCAATCTATCATCTATCTATCTGTTGGTAGAGCATAAGAATCTTAATCTCAGGGTCATGTGTTTGAGCCCCACATTGGACAAAAGATTCCTGAATTGCAGGGGGCTGGACTAGATGACCCTTGGGGTCCGTTCCAACTCTACAATTCTATCATTCTATTACCTCTCTATCTATCTACAGTATGTGCAGGTTCTGCAAATTTCTCCCTAATATATGTGGTGGTTATCTGGAGTCTCCAACAGAGAACTTTCCCAGCTCTCTTAACTGTTGATAGACAAGAGCGAATATAGGACCATCTGTATATAACACATGCATAACTACCACTGAAATCACAGCCCTTCCTTTCTGAGCCCCTAACATGGTGAAGGCGAAGTGGTGTATCACTAGCCATGCCCTTGGATTTCTGTTCAGAATGCAGCCATTTCCCTTGTTGGGAGAGCAGAGCCGCTGTGTTTTTATAAAACTGCCTCCAAGGGGTGAAAAGTACTACTCATATCCAAACATATGTCTCCTGAGCTGTTTACTTCCATGGCTCCCACAGAGCTGTTGAACGCAGCCCTGAACGTCTTTGCCAAGCTTATGAACTCTGACAAGTTTGCAGCCCTGAGCAGAATCTTCCATACTGTTTACTTGCATACGGCCATAATTGGATGTGATGCGTCTGCACAGATGGCTCTTCAGAAAAGTTCTGGGTGCGGAGCATAAAACAAATTCTCGCTAGATTTATCATGGCTATTATTATTATTATTATTATTATTATTATTATTATCGTTATTATTACCATCATGAACAACAAATACCTCTATATGAAAAGCATGAATCAAAGCTTGCAACTTAACTGCTAGGCAAATTCTCTAGATATGAACTCTAAAACAGATGCATTCCACAATTATGTACGCTTTGCTCACTGAAAACCAAACTAGGGCATGACTGAATCTCAGGAAGGGACAATGAAAGAAAATGGGTAGAAGGGAAGGAAGGAGGAACAATATTCATACTTCTTTCTTTAATATAAAAGGTAAAGGGACCCCTGACCATTAGGTCCAGTCGTGGCCGACTCTGGGGTTGTGGCGCTCATCTCACTTTATTGGCCAAGGGAGCCGGCGTACAGCTTACGGGTCATGTGGCCAGCATGACTAAGCCGCTTCTGGCGAACCAGAGCAGTGCACAGAAACACCATTTACCTTTTCACCAGAGGGGTACCTATTTATCTACTTGCACTTTGACGTGCTTTCGAACTGCTAGGTTGGAAGGAGCTGGGACTGAGCAACAGGAGCTCACCCCGTCGCGGGAATTCGAACCACCGAACTTCTGATCGGCAAGCCCTAGGCTCTGTGGTTTAACCCACAGCACCACCTGCATCCCTTCTTTAATATAGAGGTGCATTATTCATGACAAGACATAAGAACGTAAGACAAGCTTGCTGAATTAGGCCAGTGGCCCATCTAGTCCAGCATTTTGCTTTCACAGTGGCCAATCAGGTACCTGTGGGAAGCTTATGGGTAGGATTTGAGCACAAGAGCCCTATCCCATCCCATGGTTTTCAGCAACTGGTATTCAGAAACATTGCTTTCTCCAACTGTGGAGGAAGAACATAGTCTTCACGGTTGGTAGCTATTGAGAGCCTTATGTGGAGGCAGAGCATAGACATCATGGCAAGTAACCATCAACAGTCCTCGCCTCTGTGAATTTATCTAATCCTCTTTCTAAGCCGTCCAAATTGGAGGCCATCACTGCCTCCTGCAGGAGCTGGATCTGTAGTTTCACTATGTGCTGCATGAAGAAGTTCTTCCTTGTGTCCAGATGGGCCTTTGGCCTGTTCCAGCAGCCAGGCTCCTATTTGGCCCATAGCAATGGAGAACCTCCCTGGAAAAGACCCTGATGTTGGGAAATATTGAGGGCACAAAGAGAAGGGGATGACAGAGGACGAGGTGGTTGGACAGTGTTCTTGAAGCTACCAACATGAGTTTGACCAAACTGTGGGAGGCAGTGGAAGATAGAAGTGCCTGGCGTGCTCTGGTCCATGGGGTCACGAAGAGTCAGACATGACTAAACAACAGCAAAACAACAAATGGAGAACCTGTACCCCTCCTGATGTTTTTGGACCCCAGCTGCCATCGGCCTCAACCAGAATGGCAAATGGGCAGTTGTGATGAGGTCTGAAAGCCCAACAACATCTGGAGATTCCCAACCCATGCAAGATTTGAGAACGTGAAGGAGCAGTGTGATGAGCACTAACACAGAAAACAAAGCATTGGGAATGAGATGAGGAGATTCAAGGTGTGGAATTCAATATAGTGCCAAGGGGGGTATGCATGCTGAGAATGTGGTCCACTTACACAATGGGATTTTAATTCCCTCCCCCATGTGCCCCTTTGAAGAAGAAGAAGAGTTTGAATTTGATGTCCCACTTTATCACTACCCTAAGGCGTCTCAAAGCGGCTAACAGTCTCCTTTCCCTTCCTCCCCCACAACAAACACTCTGTGAGGTGAGTGGGGCTGAGAGACTTCAGAGAAGTGTGACAAGCCCAAGGTCACCCAGCAGCTGCATGTGGAGGAGCGGAGACGCGAACCCGGTTCCCCAGATTACGAATCTGCTGCTCTTAACCACTACACCACACTTTGCACCCTCTAAACCTGGTATTGGGGTTCCTTGAAGTCTCCAGAGCACATTTAGTGTGGGGTGCATGGGGGGAGGAGAGGGGTGAAATCCTTTTGGGTGAGTGTGTGGACCTTGTTCTACACACAACAACAACAACTGCTCTTAGAGGTCTAGCATTGTGAATAATCTAATGTGAACTAGTATTCTGTGTGTAGCCTCACAGACCTCGGATGACTAATCAGAAAGGAAGCACAATATTTGTCTGGTTTGAAGTGCATTTTGGACAACAATAACAGGTCATTTCTGCAAGTTTTTATTATTAAGCCAAAGAAATATTAAATATGAAAGCATATATAAATGTCACCTATTTTCAACCTTTTAATTTCTTAAAAATGCATTTTCAATTTCTTATTCTAAAAGCGAATCAGTGGTGGGTAAAAAGCTCCTAATTCCCCCCCAATTATCTGCCACTTTGACCACCACCCCATGATCAAGAACGATCTTCAGATAATGTATGCAAACAAGATGCATGACAAAAACTATAGGAATGTATCACAGACAGTTCACAGCTCAGGTTCCTAGACACATCAAGAAACAGACTCCCCCCCCCTTTTCCCCTGCCTTTTTTTAATGCCAAAATCCAAAAAGAAAGGTTTAGCTATTCAGCACCCCTAATGGCAGGCTTGCTAATTAATGCCTCAAAGCAAAGCTGAAAGTGACTAATGATGTAACATACAGATCAATACACACATAAAAGAGTGATTATCAGCCACCTAATCAACCTACAGTCTCTTCCCGGCCCTTTTCCTTTCTCTCTTGGGGTATTGGTGGAACCAGGTGACTGTGGGGAGAAATTAATCACTGGCAGGAGAAGAAACTTGGAAATCCGAGTCTCAAGTGGGTTGTTGTACCCACCACTATTCAAACTCCAAGTAGACCTACTGAAATCACTGAACGTGAGTAACGGTGCAGCCCTAAACCATGCCTACACAGAAAATCCTATTGAAGTCAGTAGGGCTAATTGCCAGATAAAAGGGATTAGGATTCCATCTTAGAATCATAGAATTGTAGAGTTGGAAGGGACCATGAGAGTCATCTAGGGTCTTGCCATGCAACAATCTTTTGCCCAACATGGGGCTCGAACCCACATCCCTGAGGTTATGAGTCACAGGCTCTACCGAGTGAGCTAATTTAGGTCCTCTAATTTGTGTCTAATTTGTTCCTGCCAACCTAGCAGTTCGAAAGCACATCAAAGTGCAAGTAGATAAATAGGTACCGCTCCGGCGGGAAGGTAAACGGCGTTTCCATGCGCTGCTCTGGTTCGCCAGAAGCGGCTTAGTCATGCTGGCCACATGACCCAGAAGCTGTACACCAGCTCCCTCGGCCAATAAAGCGAGGTGAGCACCGCAACCCCAGAGTCGGTTAGCTGGATGCAACCCTTTGAGACCTCAGGCTTAGGAAAACCCTCAAATTCTATCTAATTTGACGGGCAGGACATCCAAATTGTGACTTCCCATCCCCAATATAAAACCTACACAAGTTTCTGTCTAAAACCTATGCAGGTTTCTGTCTGAAACCTATGCAGATATGCCTGTACCTCAGAAATTAGCACGTAGAGAGGTGATGAGGTCAGGATTATGCCTACCTCCAATCACCTTGAACGAGTCACCTTGCCTCAGGTACCAAAAGGTATCCGGCTGGCCCTGCCCCAATCTCTACATCTTCAAGGTTCCATTTGCATAGGAATGACCCATTTAATTTGTCTGAGATGCCCCATGTACAATCTGTAGCCCACAAGCATGAAGGATACAGGTCATATCAGGGGTGTTCAAATGGGACCAGGGGCACTTGGAAATTCTTATAGACTGAACACTTATTTCAACACTCTGTAAGCATCTGCACAGGGCCCGAATTACTCCCCCTTCTAAATAGTGGTGCACACAAATCTTTCCATTGCCATGACAAAATGCACTCTAACTTTTACATTTGGTCCACGTTTTCACCAAGGAGTTCCAGATGGCATAAATGTTTATCTCCTCCCTCTTTTTATCCCCACAACAACCTAGGGGGTTAGGTTTCTGAGGTCACCCAAGGAGATTCATGGCTGAGTAGGGATTTGAACCCTAGTCTTTCAGTTCCTAGTCCAACACTCTAACCACTAAACCACAGTGGCTCTCAATTAATCAGTACCGCTTTGTATTACACGTTCATCCTCCTCAAGGAGCTCAAGCTGATGTACACAGAAAATTCCCCATGCCTATTAAGGTCACCTCTTTTTTTTATCTTGCATGCCATTCTCCGTCCCTTAGTACAGCAACTCTTGACACATTTTACTAACCATGATTCAAGGGCACATGTTCAAGATCACTGTTGAAATACCACAATAAATTAAACTATCAACATTTTATTGCCCTTTAATAGCACTTCAAAATTTGCTACCTGAGCTTACTTCTCCGCTCTGCTTCATAGCAGAGCTGGTCTTTACAGGTTTTGCCCAGACATGATCAGTAGCTCAAACCAAGTAGACCTGAATGAACATCTTTGTCACTGCACTGCAACCCTAGACTGCCTCCATCACCCTGCACCTTGCCCACAGATTAACTGGGTCTCAGAATTTGGGATTTCAGCAGTTGGGAACTCAGCCACAAAGCTTGCTGCTTGACCCATGAGTCAAGCTCTCTCTCAGACTTATTTACCACCTTCCCAGGAAGCCTTGATGACCCAAACAGGATATTCCCAGGTGCACCATCTTGAACTCCTCAGGGGAAGGACAGCTAGACGTGACATGTCACCCGATGATGGATTCTGACTTGCCCATGTAACTGAGCTGAGAGAGCTCTGTCTCCATGGAAGCCCCTTGAAAACATTGCCTGTGTCGAAACTCTAATATTTATTTTAAATGGCTAATTAATGGCTTCTTCGGTTGAAAGCAAGACAGTTAATCAATTAAAAAACCTTTGCTGTGTTGACTGGGTGAGTCACAACCTGTTCTTCACAGCTATTTATTCAGGTTCCTTTTTTAAAAAAAAAAAAAATCCAGTGAAGATGAAGCTACAGTTCCAAGGAGCCATGTAGAATTTCTCATTTCTTTGTTCAGAAGGTACCAAACCCAGAAAGCCCTTGAAAGTCTAATGCGAGTGGAGAGGGAGTTGCAGTTAGGCAGAACCAAGGAATTTTCTCCCTTGTGTTCCTCCACCCAGCAAAGGGTTTGATTGACAGCTCATGCAGCTGGAGGGGGGAGAATAAGGGTCAAAGCTCAAGTATTTGAGCACATGCTTTGAATGCAGAAGATCCCAGGTACAGCCCTTGGGGTATCAGTTTGCAGCATTTGGAAGGGGATCATGGTAACTCTATTTAAGTATGTGTAATGATCACTGCCTTGCCGTGGTGAAGGGGCTTGAATAACTCAGAGAAGCTATGAGCTATGCCGTGCAGGGCCACACAAGATGGACAGGTCATAATGAAGAGTTTTGACCAAACGTGATCCACCTGGAGCAGGAACCGGCAAGCCACTCCAAGAAAACTCCATGGACAAAGTCAACAGGCATATAAAAGTTATGATGCTGGAAGATGAGCCCCTCAGGTCGGAAGGCGTCCAACATGCTACTGAGGAAGAGCGGAGGACAAGTACAAGTAGATTCAGAGCTGATGAAGCGGCTGGGCCAAAGCCGAAAGGTCGCTCAGTTGCGGATATGCCTGGAAGCGAAAGGAAAGTCCAGTGCTGTAAAGAAAAATATTGCATAGGAACCTGGAATGTAAGAACCATGAACCTTGGTAAGTTGGATGTGGTCAAAAATGAGATGGCAAGAATAAATATTGACATCCTGGACATCAATGAACTAAAATGGATGGGAATGGGTGAATTCTGTTCGGATGACCATCATATCTACTACTGTGGGCAAGAATCCCGTAAAAGGAATGGAGTGGCTGTCAAAGCCAACTCCTGAAGCTGAGGCTCCAATACTTTGGCCACCTCATGAGAAGAGAAGACTCCCTGGAAAAGACCCTGATGTTGGGAAAGATGGAGGGCACAAGGAGAAGGGGATGACAGGGGACGAGATGGTTGGACAGTGTTCTCGAAGCTACCAGCATGAGTTTGATCAAACTGCAGGAGGCAGTGGAAGACAGGAGTGCTGGCGTGCTCTGGTCCATGGCGTCACGAAGAGTCGGACATGACTAAACGACTAAAGGGCTAAACAACAGCAACAATAATGACGGCATTCAACGGATCAATGGCAGGGTTAGTGCTACTATAAGGAACAAACATTAAATCAGAGTGAATATTTTAATATCTAAGCTCAATAAAAGCATATTCTTAAAAGTGTACTGACATATTTGATGGTTCTTATTAAACATGGCACTGAAGCATGGTGCTTCTGTTTCAGGAATTCTAATCTCTCTAAATGCTTCTAAGAAATGAATTTAGCTAATCAGATCTCCCTGCAAGACCTAAGAACCAAGACCTAAGAACCAAGATGATCAAAGGTCTGGAAACCAAACCGTATAAGGAATAGTTGAAGGAGCTGGGTATGTTTAGCCTGGAAAAGAGGAGACTGAGAGGAGATGTTATTGTCTTCTTCAAATATCTCAAGTGCTGTCTCATGGAAGATGGAGCAAGCTTGTGTTCTCCTGCTCTGGAGGGTAGGACCCTAACCAATGGATTCAAATTCCAGGAAAGGAGATTCTAACTAAACATCAGTGAGAACTTCCTGAGAGTATGAACTGTTCGACAGTGGAATGCAACCACTACTATGCTATAAGATCCACTATCCTGTAATATTACATATACTTGTTCTACTGATGAAGCCTAGGATGGCGAAACAAGGCTAATATTCTGGAAATCCTTCTCTTAGACTCTGTGAAAGGATTCTGTGGAACTGTAACAACTCTTCATGTGGATTATTGGACTCTATGAACAGACAGGTGGAATAGATACATGTATGGCCCTTATGCATGAACTGACTAGAGAATGAACTGATCCACTGGGTCTTCTGCTTTTTCGTTGAACTTTATGAGATTTCTGTTGTAATCTACAATTTGATACAATGAATAAAGGTAAAGGTAAAGGGACCCCTGACCATTAGGTCCAGTCGTAGCTGACTCTGGGGGTTGGGGCTCTCATCTCGCTTTTACGGAAACGCCATTTACCTTCCCGCCGGAGTGGTACCTATTTATCTACTTGCACTTTTGACATGCTTTTGAACTGCTAGGTTGGCAGGAGCAGGGACCGAGCAACGGGAGCTCACCCCCATCGCAGGGATTCGAACCGCCGACCTTCTGATCGGCAAGTCCTAGGCTCTGTGGTTTAACCCACAGTGCCACCCACATCCCAGTACAATGACTAGTATACCTTATTTATTCAAAAGTACAGCCGGTTATGTCTTGTGTGTTTATCGAGTATGTTACACATAACCATAGGTTTGTTGTTGTTGTTGTTTAACCGAGATTCCTGCATTGCAGGGGGTTGGACTAGATGGCGCTTGAGATCCCTTGCAACTCTACAATTCTATGATTTTTTTTGACCTGGTGACATCATCGAATCGAACCTTCTTCTGAGTTGCAGTGATGTTTTTTATTTTAAAAAAGTAACGTAACGTAAAGTAAATAAATGTATTGAATCATGCCATGAACAACAGACTGTGGCTTGTGTAGCCCACCCCTGACTCTTTCCACTAACCTTTCAAAAGAAATCGAGTGAGCAACCCTTTGCCTACTCTGTTGACTCCTAATGCTGAACAAAATCCAGTGTCAACATAATGGCCATAGGACGCTAAAGCAGCATAGTTATAAGTGAAAATTTAGAGATTCCATCCTTGGCTGCAGATCTGAGGAATTCCAAAGGAAGCTTAAACATAGGTTCGTTTTAAAGATAGCAAGATTTCACAGCAGGGAGTTGGTACACCCCAGATTTTTTTGGGGGGGGGAGGGGAAGTAATATATTCCTTGCTTTCCTTAACTTGCAAGACACATCATCTTTCACAGTGGTAAATGCTGCTGCCTGTTTGTTGGGAGGCAAAACAGAAATCCCTTTAATTCAGAAGAAAAAAGAACAAGAGTGAGGAAAACAAACCCAGCCTTAGGAACAGAAGCTCTGTTTTCTGCTTCCCTTTGTTCCCCTGCTAATCAATTTTCTTTCATTGCCTGCTCTTCCCCCATTCATTCTCACAACCTTTTATAAATGTCCAACTTTGCTTCCCTTCCTTGCCAGGCTTTGCAGCCCTCCCTTCCAACCCTTATTAATTAACTGCTTAATAACCTCCAATTATTCCCTAAGCACATGAATGGACCTGGCTGTTCCCTTCTGGGATGGAAGCATCTTTCAGCCAAGAGCTGGTGCTTTCCCAAATCACTGAAGAAGCACACCTATCAGCCAATCACCCATTCCCACCACCCTTCTGAGTAATACCCCTCCCCACCCTCTCACTATATATAAGGGTCTGGTGACTTCTGTTTCAGTGTATCTGAAGAAGTGTGCATGCACACAAAAGCTCTTACCAATAACTAACTTAGTTGGTCTCTAAGGTGCTACTGGAAGGAATTTTTTAATTTAATTTTATTTATTTTGTTTTGTTTTGACTGAAGAAGCAGGGAGGGACATAGACTCCTTCCAGAGTTGAATTTGGTCTTGGCATCCTTGAGTAACAGGCTTTTGAGTGGGAAGAACCATTTATGGTTGCCAAGAAACTATAAAACACAGCCACCAATCCAGGTTAGGATCAGGTCAGAGAAGGGGGCATAGTCTACAAGCACAGAACAACAAGACCCCCTTCAACTCTCCTGTAGCACCTTCTTACTCTTTCTTAGATCACAGAATGATGGAATGATATGAGTTGGAAAGGGACTCCAGGGGTCATCCATTCCAACCCTCTGCAATGCAGGAACATTTTTGCCCAACGCAGGGCCCAAACCCACAATGAAGAGTCTCATTGTGTTGGTGCTGACCTTTAAAACCCTAAACATCCTCAGTCCAGTATACCTGAAGGAGCGTCTCCACCCCCTTCGTTCTACCCGGACACTGAGGTCCAGCGCCAAGGGCGTAGTGGCGTAGCGTGGGTTGTCAGCACCCGGGGCAAGGCAAGTAATTTGCGCCCCCTAACCCGTGGATTTGTGCCCCCTAACCAGTGGATTTGCGCCCCCTAACCCTAACCCCCAGATGTTGCGCCCGGTGCGGCCGGCCCCCCCTGCACCCCCCACGCTACGCCACTGCTTCCAGCAGATATCTGCATTACCAGATATCCCAGAGGAGCCATCATCCTTGATAGTGCAGGAGGCAACGCATCAGCCTCATAATCTGAAGGTTGTGAGTTTGAGCCTCGCAAGGGGCAGTGGAACATTTTAAATAAGTAACCAAAGAATTAAACCCCTGTGTTGCAAACAATTATAAGTAATATCCAAGGCAACACAATGACCAAGTACAACAATACAATATCAATATAAACTTTATATAATCATATACGAAATCTTATAAATCTCTGAAAGTCTCAAAATGTGAACTCTTGGTGGATTCTCTTGAAAACATAGAACCAAATAAACATAAGTCTTATAAGTCTCTGAAAGTCTTTGTAGACTATGCAAGTCTCTGAAAGAAGCAATAGGTCAGATTCTTATCTGGTGAAAACAAGCCGTAAAGCTTTGTTTTAGGATGTCCAACGCTGCCGAAGTGGTCAGAGTTTATATTGATATTGTATTGTTGTATTGGTCATCGTGTTGCCTTGGATATTACTGAACATTTTTAATAGCCAGAGTAGTGTAATGGCTGGAGGTTTGGGCTAGGACTTGGAAGACCTGGGTTCAAGTTCCTGCATTGGCAGATGAAAATGATGGACTATATGGAATTGGCGGAAATGACTGGCAGAATCCGTGACCAGGGAGAAGAGTCGGTGGAAGAAGATTGGAAGAAATTTAAAGATTATTTACAGAAATATTGCAAAATCAATGAATGTTAGAGGAATGTTAGAGTGATGTTGGATTGAAGTTAAGTGGCTTCTAGCTGTACAGGCTTTAAAGTTATAAATATATCAAGATTAAGGATTAGGATTAAAAAGGTTAAAAGAATGGAAAAATTGGTTTTTAATAGGTTAAAACTTAATGTTATAATATATTAAGATTAAGGATTGGGGTTAAAAAAGAGGGAAAGAAATTGCTGGATTAACAAACTGAATTGGAATACAAAAGAGGGAGGTATGAGGAGGTCCGGGAAACAAGTAAATGTAAAAGAAGTGATGAAAAGACGGAAATTTTTTTTAAACTTTTTTTTCTTTTTACTTTGTTTTTTGTTTTTTCCTTTTGTATTTTGTATTGTGTATTTTTCTTTTTATTCTTAATTTTTCTTTTTTATTAATGTGATTCTTTCTTTGTGAAACTATAATAAATATTTTTTTTTTTTTAAAAAAGAAACTCACTGGGTGACCTTGGGCCAGTCAAGTCCCACAGCCTAACCTCCCTCATAGAGTTGTTGTGGGGATTAAATGATGCGGGAGGAGAACCATTTACACCACCTTCAGCTCTTTGGAGGAAAGGTGGGATATGAATGTGATTGATAGGTTGATATCCGGACATCCTTGCCTCAGAATGGGAGCTCTCCATACTAACTGCTCAGGTTCCTGGCCAGCTCTTAAACAGGTGCCCTTCCATCTCTTCTAGGACCACAAGAGCAGAGGTGACTGGGCAGTGGGACCAGGTGCTGAGCCTAGGGGGGTGCCCTAGGGCAGGCACCCCCAAACTCGGCCCTCCAGCTGTTTTGGGGCTACAATTCCCATCATCCCTGACCACTGGTCCTGTTAGCTAGGGACGATGGGAGTTGTAGTCCCAAAACAGCAGGAGGGCCAAGTTTGGGGATGCCTGCCATAGGGCATTGCAACTATGACGCAGCGAACTGAGCAGAACAGAAGGCGAGAAGTGGTGGGGTGGTAGCCAATTTTGGCCTCACACAAGCTGCTGCTGAAATCTGAAAAACCCAAATCTGCCCCAACAGAAGCAGAGGAGATGGGAAACCAAGCAGGAACTTCACAGTCACTGCCAATGTGCCCGGCTAGCTGCTGAGAGCAGAAACAGATCTAGGGCAGTGTGACTGATTCCACTGGCCTGGCTGCCGAGCCTAGGGGGCATGGCAGGACATTACAACTATGTTGTAGTACAGTGGACGCTCGGTTTGCAAATGTGACCTGTGGGGGATGCACATCCGCAACCCGCAGCAGCACGCCTGCGCATGCACGGGTTGTGATTCAGCACTTCTGCACATGCGCAAAGTGCGATTGCCGAAACCCAGAAGTAACCTGTTCCGGTACTTCTGGGTTTTGGCGGTCCACAACCTGAAAAAACGCAACCTGAAGCGTCTGTAACCTGAGGTATGACTGTATGTTGAGCAGAATGGGTATTGAGCAGAATGGATATTGCAATGAAGTACAGGGGGAGGTATTTGCAAGCCCAACCATCTCCAGGATTTGCACTTCCAATATCTCAAAAGCCAGGAGGGCAGGGTGCAGCTTCTATTCATCCTTGAATTAAGCCTTGGGGGTGGGATGGGGGGCATTCATTGGGTTTTATAAGACAGCATCCACAAGTGCTGACAAGGAGGGGCATTTAAAGGTCATGTCTGAAGCAGCACAGGAAGACAGTCCTGAAACCACTTTAACTCCCAGCCTGACCAAATGTTTCTCTGCAAGGGTGTGTGTGTGTGGAAAAACCTTCCCATTGTCTCAGGAATTAAGTAATTACCATCTCAAAGCAATGGCCAGACTACCGGAAAAGGCAATCAGATAAGGCATTATCAGACAACCTGGCAGACAGGAAAAACAAGAACATTCAAATTTCTGTTGTAGACCGCCTTTTCTGTGATGTAGGTATAATGTTTGTGGGGGGTGGTCTTGGGCTACACCCTTTCTGTGATATATGTATGATGTATGGAGGGGTGGTCTGGAGCTCTGTGGCAGGGAATTTAAAAAATGGATATATAAGGTCTTGCACACCATTGTTCGATGCCCTCCTCCTCTCTCCTGTGTGTGAGGGGAGCACCCTGTTGCAACAGTTTAATAAAGATCAGGCTTCCTAGCTGCTTTGCTTCTCAATATTCTCTGGTTGGCCTCTGTTATTTTCTCCTATCAATAGGGAACCCACGTAAGGACTCTATACGGTCTCTTGGATACCCCATAAGGGAATAGGGGGAGATTTTGTTTACAACACCATAAACTCCTGTTCCTCTCTCTTTCTTTTTTAAAAAGTTAATCTATGGGGTATAAGGCATCTATACATTAGCATATACAATGATTATGCAGATTTGTGTTGTGGGCTTTTCTAAGTACCAAGCGTCACCTCTGGAAACAAGCTTGGGGAATTTAGGTTGAAAGAGTCCCTTGAGCTTCACTAGACAAAGAAGCAAGAATTGCCTGATCGTATAGGGAAGACACATCTTCCTCCTCCACCAACTTCTCCTCCTCTCCCCCTACAGAAAGGCTGCATTGATTTTTCACTAAGGCACTGATGGGAGGAAAAGACCCTGCCTAATAGGAGCAGATATAATGAAAGCCAGAGGTCATTTGGTCACATACACACAAAATTCTGCCAGCCACAGGAATTCATGCCAGCTCCTCCGAGTCCCTCGCGAGATTAGGTTATTACTTATTCACTTATCAGTCTATTTAATCATGACTACGAACAATGCCCTGGTTTGACCCCTCTGTGTTGCTGCGTGATTTTTCAGTTCGTTCTTTCCATTAGCGCAGTTGTTCTTGGATAGTTTTAAAAAACCAACAGAAATAAACCTTTGGGTTACTCCATTTTTAGCCCAGTTTTAACTGGAGTCCTACAGTGGTACCTCAGAAGTCGAACGGAATCCATTCCGGAAGTCCATTCAACTTCCAAAACGTTTTGAAACCAAGGCGTGCGCGGCTCCCGATTGGCTGCAGGAAGCTCCTGCAGCCAATCAGAAGCCACGGAAGCCATGTCAGATATTCGGGTTACAAAGAACATTTGCAAACCAGAACACTCACTTCCAGGTTTGCGGTGTTCAGGAGCCAAAACATTTAACTTGCAAGGCGTTTGTCAACCAAGGTATGACTGTATTTGGACGTAAGCAGATTTACTGGGAATAATAATAATAATAATAATAATAATAATAATAATAATAATTTATTTATACCCCGCCCATCTGGCTGGGCTTCCCCAGCCACTCTGGGCGGCTTCCAACAAAATATTAAAATACAGTAATGCATCAAACATTAAAAGCTTCCCTAAAGAGGGCTGCCTTCAGATGTCTTCTAAAAGTCTGGTAGTTGTTTTTCTCTTTGACATCTGGTGGGAGGGCGTTCCACAGGGTGGGAGCCACTACCAAGAAGGCCCTCTGCCTGGTTCCCTGTGACTTGGCTTCTCACAGTGAGGGAACCGCCAGAAGGCCCTTGGCGCTGGACCTCAGTGTCCAGGCAGAACAATGGGGGTGGAGAAGCTCCTTCAGATATACTGGACCGAGGCCATTTAGGGTATGTTTTGGTTATTCTCTTTCCATCCCATCAATTTATTACCTGCCTGGAAATCCATACGAATGTTTTAATTTTTTCATATTGATTTGACAAAGGCGCAATCTACGCCAGGCTTTAACTCCAGATTCTCTAGTCAGTGCCAAGGCACAATTACAGAACGTCTGATGGTAGCAATAAAGACACAAACCCTTTTAACCAGGCATAGGCAAACTCAGCCCTCCAGCAGTTTTGGGAGTACAACTCCCATCATCCCTAGCTAACAGGACCAGTGGTCAGGGATGATGGGAGTTGTAGTCCCAAAACAGCTGGAGGGCTGAGTTTGCCTATGCCTGCTTTTAACCATGTACAGAGTACCTTTCCTTCACCACAGTCAAGCCATAATGACCCCCAAATTTCTGGGATTAGGGGAGTCCTATAGCTCTCTTCAGGAAAAGGAGATGATGTGAGCAGTGATACACAAAAAATTTTTTTTTCCCTTCTGGAGGAAATGAGGGAGACTTTGCATCGGCTTTTTCACCTGCTTCACCCCAATATATTTCAATTTTTCCCTAGATACAATGGTATTAGAAGATTGGGTGATAGGGGGTCTGATATTTTTTCCCAGGGGACAAAATGGGTGTTGTAATTAAAGCCTTGACTTTGACTCAGTCTGAGATTGGAACTCTCTCTGACCCCTAAAATACTAGGGGAATCTGAGAGAATATAGCCTCTATTTGCATAGCCACAGCCTTTTCGCTGCATAGCATCATGCTGAATTCAGCTGGCATGTGTCATAGAAATTCAGGCTTTAAAGAGTGTGGCAGAGAGAGAGAGAGAGAGAGAGAGAGAGAGAGAGAGAGAGAGACTGTTAGAAAATA